CGGTCGACGGCTCGGCCGCTGAGACTCGAGTGGTAGTGGGGGTCGCTCGCCGGAATCAGCCCGAAATGTGCATCTAGTGCCGAGCACTGTTCTAGATGATTTATGGGGGAGTATGTCACAAGTATAATAATCATTTTCTGTAAAATGACTACAAATTCTCGTTTGCTTATTAAGATTGATAATATATTCAATACTACGTAACCATTTTTCTCGTTGTTCCACATCTGTCGGGAATCTAAGAATACATTATAGTAATTTCACAAACTGAAATATATTTATATATAATAAAGTATAGTTGTATAACTATACTTCTACATTCATGACTTTACGTGTGCAATTGTCCTTCGAAACAATATCGTTCATTCTTGCATACGCAGCAATTAGCAACCATATTCTATGCAAAATATAAAATTACAGTTTTAGTCACAGCTGTGTATATACATATCTGTGTATATAATAATCAAAGATAATTAACATTAAAAAAATCTTTTATTTAACAAAAAATACATACTTTTTTAAGTCTAAAATATAATGGAGCCACGTGCGTTATACTTTCTCAACTACTTATATGAAATTTTCTTCTGGTATCTCCTTATTTGATTTTCCGACTCAAATAGAGTCACAGTACCATTCAATTCAATGAATAATCTCCTTGGGGAACAGAGGCCTATATGAAACTTTCAGTTCCTCGTTCTTTTTTTCGATCCCCTCTCTCTCAGAGTATACGGCTATACGCATGCGCGAAACGAGAGAGAAAGGTAGGACTTTTATGAGTGCGTCCTTTAGTAGATAGGATTACCCCCACTCTGACTATGCGACCTCTAGTACTACTATCTCTATGGTTTTCACCGAGGGTTCAAAGTTCGAACCGAGTCAGAATGCAAGAACCATATAGACATATAAGATAGACCCGCATGAGCTATATATACGTGAGTTTGGTAGAGGCAAAATATCGGGGCAACCTATCCTTTTCTGTGCGCGCATCTTGACAATAAACGTACTTAGGTAATACCATAGAGATATATTATCATATACATGATAAAGAAGAATATTAAAGGTACCATTTTTTTCTTCTGTATTTACAATATTACTTTTTTAACATCATTATTTTCATTACAATTAATTAAATCATACATGAGGATTGTTTATTTATAAATCTAGCATTGCATTTTAACATTTTCAGTCCTATCAAATATGTAACGCGTATTTGTCACGACAGTGTCCAAAACATGAATTTGGACACTGTCGTGCTTATTTACTCGATGGTAAACAAACTATTTCGCATCATTTCCATATTCTTTCTTCATGATTTTAGAAAGGAACATGTTTTCCGCTGTCTTCGCCAAAAAATCCGAATGTTTTTAATACATTTTCATGTCAAAATCAATTACTTTGCATTACAACTCATCCGCCGGCGTTTGAAATCCATCGGCTCCGCGGGGGCCACGGCCGGCCAACCAGCGCGAAGTCATACTGCGCGTGCGCGAGATTAGACAAAGACACACAGGGAAACTATGCATCGTTCTCTTTCTATTCGTCTATCGCAACCACTCACGCGTCAGCCTACTGCTGACGTGCTCTATTCTTATATCTCTATGGGTAATACTCAAGAATTCTACCTCCCTCATCGATTTTGACGAAATTAGGCTCATTCAATGCGTTTTTGCACGAAATGAACGAATGTGGCAAAAAAAAGTGACGCTCTGTCTCGTAGACCGAGATAATGGTGGCGTTCAGCAGAGAAAACTAATCAGCGCTTAGTGATTCTTTAATATGATTGGTTCTTGCCTTTAGTTTTTCATTGGATCTAAGGACAGAATCCATAGACGTTGCTCAAGATTTAAGATGGTTTTAAGCTAGTGTATGAACCAATCAGAGAGCCGTATTAGCATCTTAAGACATTGCTTGAGACCGGACTATGGATTCCGCCCTAAGTGTAGGAATCAATTATATTAAAGAATTACTAAGTGCTAATGGATGGGACCCGTTTGATCACGTTGCGATTGTCCACCAGCCACTCACAGTGCTTGTACAACAGAAAAACTCTAGACACCGGCTGCTATGAGTGGCTGGTGGTCAATTGCAACGTGGTCAAACGAGGTCCCATCCAGCGTTGATTAGTTTTCTCTGCTGAACGTAGCCAGCCCTGGATCTACAATAGGTGTTTTAAGCCTTAAGCCGTAAGAAATCGACCAATTACAGTCGAATCCGAGGAGAATAATCGACTGTGATTCGCCCATTTCTTATAGCTTAAGACTTAAAACTCTATTGTAGAACCGGGATTAATCGTTGAAGTTAACGACTATTCAGATTAGGAAATCTGTCATACACACATCGATGGCATAGAAATATGAGAACTTATAAGTGAAGCTAGAACAGTGTAACATCAAAGTATGTACGTCATACATGATTGCTATTTTATTATTTTACCGAATTAGTATCAGCAATATTTTTAATACCAAGATGTGTAGTGTAAACGCAAAATGATGATCTGTAAAAACTCGTCGTCCGTATTTATAACGTCCATTATAAATAAATTTAAGATTGTTTTACCAAAAAGATATATATGTTGGTCTTTAAGAACTGTAATTAAACGAACATAAATTCGAAGATATACAATTTATTTATCGATTTATTATTGACGTTTCTGAGTGCAGTGGATTTGAACCCGATCCAGTTCGATAAACTTATGTTTGACCCGAAAGTATCATGATTTCGTCCAATCCGAACCAGAAATCTCGGGCTGTATTCCAAATTTACTGCCAGCACAGAAAATGCTACGGTTTACGTTACATGCACTATAGATTTTCAGTACTGGCAGTCAATTTTGGAACACAGCCAAAGTAAAGCATGTGACATCATCGATTTGGGGGTCGATTCCGTATCTTCAAATAAGATGAAAATGACAAAAGTGAGGAAATTTACTAGGTGTTGACCAATGAAATTATCAGTGTTCTAAAAAATTTGCTCATTTTTGTAATTTTCACCTAGTTTCAAGATACAGAATTGATCCCCTGACCTGGGTTAGAGTAGAGTCCTAGATTTATCAGAGAGGCGCAACCGGCTTAAGTCAGTATGACAAAGGTACTAGGGAGAGTACTAAACATGGTTGACATGCTATGAAACTGCCTTTAAACTGTCAAACAAGATAAGACAAAGTAATATAATATAAAATTATATTTAAATGAATCGTATCAATTCTTTAGAGGGAATATTTATGTATTAATAAGTCAGTTGATTAATTGTCATTATAATCGCTTTTGCGTATCACCATAACCTTTTAATTTGCACTGCTGTTAATGGAGTAAAACTTTACTCGATGGTAAAGATTCTCGATAAAATTATTCTTAAAATTAAAAAAAATATTATTGTATTACTCAGGTAAATAATTCTGTATGATACGTAGAATTTCATATGATTTAATCTATGGAGTATTCCAACTGTTTGGAATGAAGTAATTTTAAAGTCATTTATGATTGCTTGTTTGTAAATTTCTGTTTCAAAAAACAGAAATGTTTCTAAAAACAGAAATGTTTGAAGATAAGATGTATAATTGCAGGTACGATTGCAGTATTATGTTCTTACATTCAAGAAACATTGAAAAAAAAAGATAATTGTGAAGCATATATATCTACTGTTAACGAACAAATAATCAGGGCTTTCTGTATAATACGAGTAATAACAATTTAGTCAGCATGGATACTGTTCAAGAGCAAGAATGAGATAGAGTGAGATAGAATGTATAGGATAAAATGAAATAGAAATATGTCACTAGTACTATAAATGGTTGCCAAGTCATGTGATTGCAACTGCGAATCAGAATGCATAACATCGGTTGTGCCTTTCTGATAAATCTAGGACTCTAGATTAGAGTCTCTCTAATTAAACTCTAGGTTAGAGTTGGGTTAGGCTAGGTTAAAACCCACTCTATTTGAAAACAGTGATGCGAATTCCGGGCCGCTTGCAGCACGCGATCAGCGCCACCGGTCGGCGGCCTGGTGCAACCGATGGCAACACAAGCACGAGCCCGTGTCCGTGTGACTTGGTAGTTGGAAGCGTGCCGACTATACTCTGAATGAGTGCGAAAAGGTCAGAGTATAGTCGGCACACTTCTAACTACCAAGTCACACGGACACGGGCTCGTGCTTGTGTTGCCATCGGTTGCACCAGGCCGCCGACCGGTGGCGCCGATCGCGTGCTGCAAGCGGCCCGGAATTCGCATCACTGCTTGAAAATGCTGTGTAATTAAAATGATTGCATTCATAAACAATTGGAAAACAAGGAGACTGGAGAAATATAAATTGCATATCATATATAATTAAAATCATGTTTTTCAGCTAAATGTTTCTCTCGAGTAACTGATACAATAGTTGGAAAAGGTTTGTCAAGTAATAAATTCAAATACACTTTTCTGATGATGAACGCATAGAATAGGATTTGTAAGAATTTGTCAATGCAGCCGAACGACAAGGTCTGTGCCGGCGTATTTCGGTAGATTGAGATTATACTGCGATTCCAACTTCTTAGGCACAAATCGTCCACCCAGGTAGTGGAATTTTCCATCGAACTTTGACGCGCACATTTTTGGTGCCGTTAGAGATATCAGCATTTGTGGCCTTATGCCACCATCCTCGGGTGGGCCTCTCTCGACGTCCCAGCCCGAAGGTATATCCACGCTGCAAATAGGCACGCTTGTGTTTTTCAACATGTCGATGATACGGACGAATGGTTCTCTCACTGGCGGTCTGAAATTGAATCCCAGAAGAGCATCGACTACAATCGCATATTTGTGCAAAATTGTCGAGTCTGCAGTTGCTTCCTCTATGCGCTGATTCTCCAGTATAAGAACACCGTTCTCGACACATTGATGCAACAGCCTTTGGTATAGCTCATTATTCGTCCTCTTTGGATAATAGATCTCCGGTGAGTATCCAAAGAGCTTTAGGTGCCTCGCGCAAACCATGCCGTCGCCACCGTTGTTGCCAGGTCCACAGCATATCAATACTCGACTGGACCCGCTGGAGGAGGAGTCTTCCGCATCCGACGACGACAATGGATAAGACTTTGCGATCGCAACCGCGCAGCTTTGCCCGGCTAGCTCCATTAACTGATCTACGCTAAATTTATACTTCTCGAACAGGTCTTTGTCAATGTTAATAGCTTCCGACTGATTTAAATATTTGACCATTTTGTTGTATTTTCTTCTTGCAAACGGGACAAATGATGATATGTCGATCACAGACCTGCACACTTTGATCCGTTTGACGCTCTGCGATGTCAGAGTGGACGATACCAATTGTAACATATGTTGATAACGAAATCGTTTGAGTTTATCTTTGTATCAACGTGTTACTTGCTAGCTTAGTTATCCGTCTTTTGCTTATTACTGCTTTTCAGTGCTTATTGCTGCCCTGCGGTCTACAACGCTGCAACAGCTTGCAACAGTCTGCAAAGAGTGCAAACTGCAAAGTGCAATTGTGCAACAACAACACGTGCATCATCTGGCGGAGCTCTTTTGAAATCTCGCTCGATAGTCACGAGTCGACTAGTGACCAGTGACCACTAGTGATTATTTGACTAGTCGATGGCTGCGTTCAGCAGAACGTTTGTTTTGCAACTGTTGGAAGTTTCCTTCGCGCTAATTGGATCATACTTTTAGATCTAGAAGAATGGTCCTATCTCAGCAGACAATCATAAAACGGTTGCAAAACTGTTGAGTCTGCTAAACGCAGCTAATTAAACGTAAATAATGTAGGTTGATGTAGGTCGTCGACCGTCGCACTCGTCGTTCGAAGGATGTAGCATTTATGTTTTACATACATAGGGTGATATTTCATTTGTGCATTTTTGTCGTACGACAAAGTTTTCAAGCCTGTGATTGGCTAAAAGACAGAGAGATCCGAAGATCTCTCTGTCCTGTACACATTTGTCGTACGATGAAAACGCACAAATGACATAGCATTCTTACGTAGAAATTTATTAACTTTATAAGAATGTCTATGAATGATAATCGGCTCTACGCGGTAAATGACATATGTAACAGAATGTCTAAGGAATTCGTGACCGTCGATGGCAATGTGAGGAAGATACAGAAAGAGACTCTAACTCCTTACAAAGTGGCAACTGTCATTCTAATTAAAGAATACTGTAACGATACCACAAAAGGTACGCTTTTATTATGCAATATTTCACTAGCTATATAAATTTGTTATATCAATTTTGTATTCCTTTACACAAGCTTAATCTTTGATGATTTCTAGTGATTCTGGAAAGACGTAACTTTTGTTTAGCGTCGTTAAAGTTAATTCAGGTAACTATTTTACACATTAAGGAGAGAGGGAGAGGCATATTTTGGATTGGATGTATTTAAGATGATTATTTTTTTAGTCAGCAGATATGGAGTTGGACGTCCTGTTTGTACGAGCCGGAATATGCCTTACATCGGTTTGCAGATCGACTGGAAATAAATCTGGATGCTATACATGAGAAAGGAATTGATCAGCTATTAGATCTATTTGATAATCTTCGTCGATTAATGGAATCCAAGGATCACACGTTATCTTTACCAGCATTAAGCAGAAATTCTGTTCTTGGATTGTACGTTCGTAGGATGCTTATTTTCTTTGAAAAATTGGCCTTCGATCAAGTGGTTGCTCTCTACAACGATATGGAGAAATACGTCGTGAAAAAAATCGATAGCCTGGAGAATTCTGACATTTCAATTTCCAAGCAAGAGGATTTTTTTGGTCCGGATAAGTAAGTTTTAGAATAGAACGTTATATGTAATGTTATATAAGTAGGATATTTTGTTAATGTCGATGCTTTTTACAGTAAAGCAAAAACAATTTGGGGTGGAAGACAAGCGGAATTACTTGTGGCACAACAAGCACATGCTTTACAAACTGACGAGCATAAAGCACTGCCACCAGTGGAGCTGCAAGCTCTCGTACAAGATCTTCTAAAGTCTAATCCTTACAATGCAGATGCAGTGAGTATGCCCAATAGAATATATGTGAATTATTAGATTAAATGTGAAATAAATGTTTTTTTTCCAGCTGAATAGATTTGTCTTTATTCCAGCATTACCTCAGTTATTTAAACTGCATCCGCGTCAACGATTTTTGTGGGGCGGTAGACAGTCTCTACCATTGTTTTGATAGACTGGCACCTCTGGAGAACCGATCCACACCAGAAGATCGATCTCGTACCTTCCGTTACGCAGCACTCAATTTGGCTGTTTTACATGCCCAATTTAACCACAAGTAATCTATTTTGTTTACTTATCTCAAGCCTAACTCTCTTTGTCTCTCAATCTACTTAACAATCGAAATTCAGCCTGTAGTAGTTTATATGTACATACATACTTACACACATACAGCGTTACAAATTTGTTTCAACCAAGTAATTCTCGTGGCTTTCTTGGAAAGGGAAGTAGCAAAGTACGCTTTGAAAGAAGCTATTAAATTAGCTCAGGAAGCTGGAGACAACGTGTGTTTGCAGCTTGCTCATTCTTGGATGTCCTACTTAATCAGTAAAGAGAACAAGTAAGTCAATATAACGAGAGATTCTTCATTTTTTCGTTACTTACACAGATATGTTAAAATCTAATCTTGACATAATCTAAAATATGTATAATCTACAATTAAGTTCTTAAACCGATCGATAGAAAAATCTTGATATATATATAGGAAGATGTGATAAAGATGTCTCTCATATAGGTTTTCTTTTATTTAAGTAATTAAGTACTTTTTGTTATTATGTATACATATTATTATCGTATGCATATTTGCCTTTATTCCTCTCTACCTTTGTTAGAGGATCTCTGATAGAACGCTCGGTTGGCAAAGCAAGTCTACTCGGAATTACACATACGACAGGCTTAAGTCTCATTTCACACGCGCACAGTTATGCCTTAGAAGCCAAGAATCCTCCTCAAGTATTCGAGGTGCATAGTAAAGAGTAATTAATCAATCTGATGTACACAAATTTATATTTAAAATTATAATTTATATTCCATATAGATATTGATGAAATCGGACATGTTAAACTGTCAGCATTCAATGTCCGACTTGATGTCCGTCACTTTTGCGGAGAAATCGGCGTTGTGGGCATATTATGGCAAAATGGAAATGGCCTCCATTTGCGGCCAGCTATTACTTCTTCACAATACAGGTGATAAGAAGCAGCATATGTTCAATGGACCATCCACGTGCCAGGCAATCGTCACTGTCGCCAATATGTTGATCGAATTCGGTGAATACGCTCTCGCTGATGTTGTATTGGCACATGCCAAGGAAAGATTTCCCAACAGTCCTTGTAACAAGGTGTGTTTTTTTTTAAGTACAAATAAAATGTAAAAATTATTCAAATAAAATCTTTTCTTCACAAAAAATTTCTGAATTTGGATGAGTATTTAAAGATTCTTTTTTTTCCCTCTTACGTTTTCTATTCGTAATTCAGTTTATTGCATCGTAGATCTGGATGTTGAGCGAACAGTTACATATATTGACGCAACTGCTGCGACAAGAGAAATGGAGCGAGGCAGAAGCAGTGGCCAGGAATATCTCCAGCCTAGATCAACTGGAATCCAAACTCAAGTACAAAGAATTTATTTTATGAGCGCGCGTGTCAAAGAAATATATGATTATTCTTATTATATTTGTGAAAATGTGCATTCCAATTTAAATCTGAAATTTCCAGGTTGCTAGAAGTTTGCCTGGCAAAAGGCGATTTTCCAAAAGGATTAGAATATATTGGCGCTATTGAGGAGCATCCGCACGTGACTCCGCCATATGTAATACGTGCCGTGCTTCTTTCTAGTCAGATAACATGTGCCTCCTCCTTGCCAGACAACGGGACAGCAATCGCTACTAATTGCATAATGCGTCTTTGTTCAGCCTTGGAATTGGCTGCACAGAATCATTTGTCATACTATAAGGCACTTGTCAAGATGCACCTTGCCAATATACAAGTAAGCTCTCTCTATGAGAGAATTATATATGTATATAATTCAGTCGACTAAAATACATCCCCAATTGTTAATCTAGTTGTTAATGGGTCTGCCTGTGTTGGCTTTGAACTTGGTAGAAGACGCTATCCCCACAGTCTTGGGTCATGGTGGCTGTTACGATCAAGGCAAGGCATTCATGTTATATGGCAAATGTTTGATAGCTTCAGCGCCAGAGAACCCTTTTGAGGTCCGGAAAGAGATGATTCTCAGCGGAATAAAAACCCTGTCAAAAGCACAGGAGCTCTTCATAAAAGTTAATGCCAGCGCCAAAGTCAAGAGCATCATGCATCTGCAAGCAGTTTTTTACAACGAGATTAACCTCCTGCCTGAACGAAATCAGTGCGCTTTCGAGTTTCGCCAGATGGATGAACAATATCTAACGACTCCTACCGATCTATTTTTGTATTAAAATTTGAAAGTATGGTATACATATTTGTATTGTATAATGTTGTATATATGAAAAAGAAAAATTTTTTTTGCATAAATTTAGATTAATTTGCTTGCAAAGTATGTTGTATATTAATCTTTTAATGTAAAAGAGCAGGATTTGACAAATTATCTTGCATACATTTATTAAATTAATTATTAATTTCAGTTACCTCAAATGCAGTGAATTCGATGAGATACATTTAGTCAGTGTACATAAAAATTGTTGTTAATACAGATTAACGTAAATACCTAAAGATATGTGTGTTTAAATATATTATAAATATAATACGCTAGCTTTAATACGCTAGCTTTATTGTGCTATTAGAACGTAACAAATGCATATTTTATACTTAATATTAAATGAAAATCAGTAAGATTAAGCACACATTAGTAAAAACTGAAAAACACCATCGTTGGTCAAGGTGGTCCTTCGTATCTAATAATATTTCTTACCATTTTTACATTTATACAATTTCAAGCTGATTGTGCACCGATTATTATTTGTCAGTCTTGAAACACAATTTTAAACTGAAGAACTAAGAAAGAACATGGGCAATAGGAGTCAAGCGCGGAAGACGTTGCGCAAATAATACGACTATATATATA